ATCTGTAATGTGCAATACAGATGCTAGTGTGATGATATTCAAAGACAAAATTAGTATGTAATTTTAAATTTGAACTGTCTACATATGTACATTTATTTATAGTTTGTATATTCCAATTTTAATATTTTTTGTTTGTTTATGGCCTGGAGGCCTTGTAATACAAATAAATTAAAATCTAATCAAACATAATAAATCTGATAGTCACTATTATTTGCATACATCAAAGCAATATTGTATTCAATAGTCTGTTTTGATTGCATTGATTTACTGACAATATGGACTGAATGAGAAAATACCACAAAGTATGGAAGAAGACAGTACACAGGGAGTATAATAAGTAAACAAGATTAATGTGACTGTGTACTGTCTGAGTGTATACTTTGTGGTATCCTCGTAAAAACTCCATCATTATAAATCTTTCCAATCCAACTAGTTGGCGTATAAAGCCCAGAATTGTGCAAAGTGGTGAAATGCTGAAACTGTCTTGATGTGTTTTCAAACACGTTCACCATCTTGGAGATTTACTGCTCTATTAGAAATGCATCTCTAAAAGATGCATTAGTAAATGGCATACTGCCATGTCATATTTCTAAAGACCCTGTAATTTGTAACATTTTATTTGTGTTTCTGTAAGTACGTCCAGGTAATATATAAATGTTTTGATATACTAAACAAAAGTGAAATCAATATTTTATGAAATAAAAATATGTTGAAATTTAATTTCCTTCAATATACTCACCATTGGTGCTCAATAACTGTAGTTGTCTTGAGAAAGCCAATATGATATTATTGACGATGAATGAAGGCAACAATGCAGCATAGAACCGTATCACCTGAAAATAGATTCAGAATAATTATCACTACCAGTATGTCAGATACTAAAATATGATGCTGTAATGCTGGAATCAAAACCTATCACTGTGTCAGATACTAAAATATGATGCTGTAATGCTGGAATCAAAACTTATCTGTGTCAGCAACAAAAAATGTCAGGCTGTAATGCTGGAATCAAAACTTGCTTTTCATCAGGGATGCACATGCCCACCACACTTGAACTTCTTGCACCCTCTATTGTTAGTAATGGTATTGTTTTGTTTGTTCATTGTTTATATACCCCGCAGGATGGCTGCTGTAAAGTTTATAGAAGCTCATCAAAGGATATCATGCTTCATTTCCTATAGAATCAAAACATTATAGTTATTTCTCTGTATGAGACCGACAGACAGAAAAACTTAAGGTACCCAAGATGGCCACTTGAGTATAATGCTGTAGAGCCATTGTTATAATAATGCTCCAGTATCTTATATTTTATTTACATTCAGAAATTTATTTGAAAAAAATCAAGGATTTGAAAAAGTGCCTTTAAATTTTCTGTATTTTTGCTGGTCATTCCTAATCACCTCAATCTGGTTAAAATAGTTTGTTTAGGCTTTTGTGTTTTTTCTTTACTGAATTGATCTGTAACATAGATGATCCATGATGGCTGACTGACTATGAAAAATGTCACATACCTGGCCCATGCAGTCAGAGAAGCTAGATTTCATCTCTACTTTATACTGACATTTAGGATTGAGATACATGTGAACTTGAACTAGTCTCTCATCATTTGCTGGTCTGTTCATTTGTAGTCGTAGCAACAATTTGTTAGCCTCTGTTGCCTTGGAAACAGAGTAGACATCTTCTCTGTACCAGGGTACAAACATACGCATTGTAACATTGGCATCTGAAGGAAAATAGGATTGAGTTTGATCATTTTAGATTTATATGTATACCAACCTCTTCTGTAAAAAGAAAATTAACGCATATTATATGTGAATATGAGCAAATAGACATTACTCAACACGCGGTCACCTGATTGCTACATGTAAGTAAATAAATTATTCATGGAAGATTAAAATGAATACTGTGTTACAAAATTGAAATTGCAAATTTTATTCTTGAGAATTGTAAAATAAGAAAACAAGAGACATAAACATTATAACAATTTTACATATAACCTTTTTTTTAAATGTCTAAGTTTGTGTTTTTTCACCAGAATATGTTCGTTTTTACATCCAGGGAGCCAAATCTTTTTGTCAATTTATCAAAAATCGCCGATTAGCTATTATTCATATATAACACATCTACAATCTCTGGAAAAAGTGTTGCAACCTGCAGATTAATACTCATTTTATAGAGATGCTGAATTGTTATGCAGAAAAATGACAATGTCCATATTTCAGAAACCATGCCCACTTTTGCAAAACCATGTCCAATTTATAGCTTGATACTCAATTACCATTTAACCAAGTTACAGGCAACTGACATTTCTTATTTTCTTCAATGTTCAAATTTAGTAACTCAAACTTTAACTAACAGTTCATCGAACAGCGAGTTACAGACAACTGAATTGTTATTGTTGTTTAAGTTTAAATTCTACAAGTATGCCCAGCCCAACAAACAAGTTTACCACATGATAAATATGATTTACAGTATTTGAATGCTTAAACAATGAATCCAGGTTGTCCATTTCAACGTTCAGAGACACTAATTATCTCAGTTAAAAAATGTAAAAACCATTCTTACATTCTACTCTTGGCCAGCCATACTTTGGTTCAAGGACATTCTGAAATTAGTTCATCTTATTCCTGGCTCACCATACTTACTTGGTTCAATGTCGTCTTGACATTTTATTGGAGTTAACATGACATTATGTGCTTGGTGTACCAAATTAAATCCCTGTAACTCCATGTTAACAAATGTCTGCCCTGGCTGTGTTTCCTCAATTACAGTGTGAGTTTGGGCTGTGAAGTAAAATCATGATTCATGGGTTACCGTACATTCTCCACAAACAACCTGGCTGAATACTTTTAAATTCACTTAGTTTTAGTTGATAAAATACAAATCATTGTCATTAAAGGACCCGAGAAGATAATATGGCATACCCTTCAAATAGAAGGCTTTCTATATTTCGTTTTTTATTTTGCATATGAACACGTATAACAATAACAAATAGCTTCACAAAGTATTCATAAATCCTTAATACTTTACTCAAAGTTTGATCAACCTCAAGTTAAAACATTAGTGCAGCATACCCCTCTCAAAAACATTACACCTGAGTAATCCACCTACATATAATCCACCTACATATAATCCACCTACATATAAACAGATTTGTCTCACCTGACAAGAACACGTTAGGACTCGTAAATTGTATACGTCTTTCAGTACTGTTGTAGAACTCCACCTTAATATCAGTCTGTTGAAAACAATGTCATTACATATTGTATATTAGTACAAAAGTTAAATTAGCTGGATTTTGTTTTCACTTATTCCTCTGAAGTGCTAAATTAAAACAAAGTAAATATTTCTATTTTAGAAATTAATTCACATGTATTAATGACAAATATAAGTTAAGGAATTAGAAGAATTAGAATTTTAGCATCAGCTTTTCCAAACAAATATAATAAATTCAGATACTTCCATCAGGTTTGCTAAAAGCATAGACAATATATGCGACATATGTCACAAGTACATTAGTCCACAGTCTACTGGTAAATGAAATGAGTCTTTTGTTATAGACAGGAAAAACATTCCATATTTGATGGCAGATGGGTAAAGAGAATAGTTCATTTATTTCAATACCACAACTCAATTTGATTAATACTCAAAACATGTGATATTTCTTTACAATGTGATTCTGAACCCGGATATTTTATGACAGCTCTCAATTACAATAACTGTTAACATTCAAACTTTCAATTTGATACATTAAGGCAAATCCTCTACTCTCAGAATCAAGTGAAATGTTCATGCTATTTTGAAAATATTTTGTTTCAGGTATACAATTCAAGGGTTTCCATTTTAAACACATTGACTGCAACAGAAATGTAATGATACATGTATAAGGTAACATTTGTGGGGCTGTCTATGTGATAATAGGTAAACTGTCATTTGTTAAGCTCCAC